CTTGGTGATTGTGACTTTTCTTAATGTTTGAACAAAAGACCAGGGGATCTCTGATAAAAAAAATCGTCAAGTCACTATTTTTTTGTATCTGAGTCTCTCTCCAATGTTGCTACTGCTGCAAATTCTTTTCTTTTCTGTTGTGTTCTTCACTTCCTTTCAAAATGATAGATTTATAAATGGATGGACAGATGAATTTGTTTGTGTGAACCATACGCAAGCTAGGCAGCTTTAGTGAGAAACATTGCCCATAATCAAGCCATCAAGATGCATCATAGGCATATTCAAGATCCCATCGACCATCGTAATGTGAATGATAATGCTTTTAGCATAAACTAGCCTCGGTTGAGGATGCATCATAGGCTAAACTTCCTTTCTTTGTTCTAGCTTTCAATTCTTTCCGTCGTCAACTGTTAGAGTCGGAGTCCATACTTGAATTCCTTATTGCCATCTTTCTTTGCTAAATTGCTGCTATCTTCCTTTTTAAAATTTGTCAGCATTCGATTGTGCATTCCCACCACCACTTATGCTTTCTACGCAACGTAAATGAATGTATTAGTTTAATCTATATTCCGTTTGTACGGACTATGCCATTTCATTTTTAAGGATTATGATTTTGGGACTTTGGAATGTCTGCATCAGAGGACGTACATCTTGATCCCTTAAAAGAAGTGTATTGGAAGTCCAAAACTACCTTACATGCAAGTTCCCCAGGCCGGTTCTCTCAGACTCAGAAGTATGTTGTATGCGAACCAGCTAACTTCAACAAAAAAACACATTTCCATAGGGCCAAGTGTTTCCACTTTCAGCGTAGCACAAGTGCTTGCTTGGTGGTTTTGATAAAATGTTACTTGCTTATGAATTTGGCTTGGATCCGGTGGCTGGTTGCACAAGTGAACTGACTGGGCATTCTTGCTACCTTTTTATGCTATTACAAAGTTCAAGATAACTGAAAGACTATATAGAGCAAGAGGGAAGATAAGGACTTTATAAAAGTGGTTGATTTCTATTTCTACAATGAGAAGGATGCAATTAGCTTCGATTTGAGAGATAGAAGATGAAGGGAACTCCATAAACTTGCATAGGAACTAAATTTCTAATTTCCAATTCTACAATGAGAAGGATACAATTAGTTGTGCTTTGAGAGGTAAGAGATGAAGGAAACTCCATAAACCTGCACGAACAACAAAAGTAAAGTAGGTCAAAGACAATTAACAACCTCATAAAAAACAATAACATTAAGTAAAGCTCACAACATGGGTGATAATTGATACCCATATGAATTATGAAGTGCAAATCATAGACTGGGAAAGCTAGCATTATGTTTCCCCAAAAGCATAACATCAATTTGTTGAACCATGGACTTCATGTTAAACCCAAAATCGGACTGTAACTTTCAGCTTCGGGGCGAGCCTGAAAAATAGGAGCAAAAGTGCCCCAGAGAATCGAGATTCTGGTGCCGGCTGAGAACCCTGTCAACAAAGAGGCATAATTTCACATCTCTCGGCCTTCTAAACCCTCAAACAGGTAGCGACGTGGGTAAATCCTCAAACTGAAATTCGTGATAGCCAACTCGTTGTCGGTACCTCCTTCGAAAACCTTCTGAGGAAAAGAAAAGAGAGAGCAAACTCATCTTAGATGAACGAAAAGACAAACTCGTTATCTCTACAATCATGTCAATTGTTTCACAGCCATGTCAGACATTAGTATGTATCACCAAAATGTTAGCTGCTTGAGTCAGGTACATTAGTTTACCTTTCTCAAATGACTGTTGGGAAGCTCGAAGCTTTGGAGAAACCAGTGTTCCGAATACAGCAAGGAATTTGTACTACTAATTCTTTACCTGCCAAACACCGCAATGCTAACTTAGCATGGGCAATCGATCCCATTTGTAAAGAACAATTCAATTCCAGAAACATCATAACTAAAATAATTAGTAGAAATGGCATTTCTGTTCGAATTCAACCCACTATCTACAATGATACCACAAGGGTGTTCTTTCCTTTGTATTAACATGACCAAAAGAACAAATATAGCATAGCTATTCACCCTATCATCAGTCTGAAGTCGAGCTCCTTTTCAAGACTTGCTAGCATCTCCTGTAAGGCAAAAAACACATGTTAAATGAGAAACAAAAATACAAAATAAAGGCAAGCACTCTAAGTTGTAACCACCTTGTGCTTCTAGGACATGTCAATTGGGGTGGGCTTGGAGACTAAATCCACAGCTGAATCAAAGTTTTCACATATATTTTTTTGGAGTTTGAACAAAATCATCATAGGCATGCCCAACCGAAAATGTCAAAATTTTCTTTGTTCACTCTGCAAAAGGCAAACTTTTATTTCAAATCCCATTCAAAGTCACTTTAACTGTTCAAGTTATTAATTAGGTGGAAGTTTCTCTGTGCATGTAATATTGTAATTTGTAGTGAGAATACAAACAATATGAAATTCTTTTAGGAAAATTATTTTTAACTTGATAAAACAATGGTGTTTCACATGTGTAAATATTTTGTCATTAATTTCTTGCTTTAAATGAAACACATAAGAAGAAGAAGAAGAAAGAGTCTTACGATAGTGGAGGTAGTGCTTTCAGAGATAATGACGTTGCTGAGAAGAAAGTAGCTAGAGACAACTAATTGTGGAGATAGAAGTATAAAAAATTAGCAAGAAGAGCAAATATGAGACAATATTCATTTCTTGAAAAAGGCTAAAAAAATATGTTTCATATTTTAAATAAATTACCATTCAATTTAGCTCTTAATGAAATTCAAGAGAAGGAAGAGACCATTTAAACATAGGAGACCAATAATAAATATTGATAGTGGAAATAGAGGTGTTATTAATGGAGATGAAGGTATTGTTGTTGGTGGGGATGATAATGCTATTGAGGAAGCAATCACGAAGTCAAAAAGAATATTTATAGTAATTCTAATTGAAGTGTGATTTGAACACACTTTTAAGAAGTTGATTCCCTTGCATGATTTAATTTAAAATTCGACATTGATATTAGTTGACGAGTCGGTTAGGATGTGGGAAAATTTTCAAATTTACAATTCATGTTTTTATTATATTTTTTCAATAATTTAATATTTGAATTAATTTATGATAGCAAATCAGAAAAATTATTATTATTGTTTATACAATTGATCAAATGTATCCAGCCAACAAATGGGGTTCAAATCTAGTGTGAAAGATGGAAGAAATTTGGCGATCCTAGATGCTTTCATCCACGCGCTAAGTGATCTTGCTCTATACACTTAGGTTTGTATATACGAGAATCTATCTAATCCATACTAGTCACGTGTCCGGCCGGTTGGCCGGATTCGTTTATAAATCATACCAGGCTGTGGTTGAATGAATTTTTTAAACTCTGAACTCTCCCGTAGATTTGTCCTGATCGTAAAATTGGAGGATTTAGGACAATGAGAGACGAATTTATCCTTATTGTAAGGAATCACACATTCATATTCCATATGGATTTTACTTCTTCCGCGACCAAGTGGGGAAGTAACAAAACATTCTTGTCTCCTATCTCAAAATTATAAAAAGAAATGAAGAAATAAATTCGAAAATGTAAAAGAGAACACAACTTCAAGAGGCATCTCCATCACACAGTTTACCCAGTTCAAGAACTTTGAGCTGAAACTCCATTGTGCTGTGCAGACTGCAGAGGAAGTGCACGACTATGCAGTCCAAAAAAAAGGCAATGTTTGAAGTCCCTACTTGAACCAATCATTTCATCGAAAAAGACTTTTACCGCAGTCAATTTACATAGTATTTTGGATGGCACATCATCGGATACCATCATCAGCCAACAGTGGCTTATAATTGGTTTCCGCTGTTGCCTCTTGTGAATCCTTAGAGGAAGAACAAACATAGTCTCTCATTCAAGAAAAACAACAGCATAGTACCAAAATCAATACGAAATGAAGAGAGAAGAAAATAGTTTGACCGACATCCTTTTTAACCATAAATATAAAAAGAGAATAAAATAGTTCAACCGACATCCTCTTTAATTATAAATATATGAAGAGAATAAAATAGTTCAACCGACATCCTGACCGACTAAATCCTCATACGAAAAATGAAAGAAAAACCACATGAATCCTTCTATTTACTCCTCATCGTCGTAGACAACTCCATGTTTCCGTTTTTTCTGGTTCTTTTCACTTCCTGCTCCATCGACAACATCAGTACGTCCATCCATAGTAGTTGCTTTGTCGCCATTGGTGTCGCATTGTGCTCCATTAAATGTAGAGGCCTCCTTCTCTTGCATTTGGGGAGTTTCTTCCTCATTTTTCTACATTATATTTAGCACTTATTTTAGGTATTATAATTATTGTGCAAGTAAAAGTAAATTATCATATCGTATAATATTTACCTCCGCCTCATTAGCAATATCTTGCTTTTTCTCAGCACCATCAACGGCAGCGGGTACACCATTAGCAGGTTCTACTTTTTCCTCCTGCAATTGCTTGTGATTATAATAATGAATGAAAGTTCTCCTAATATGTATCTATATAGCAGTAATAGAATTATATACATATCAAAATGAAACTGACGTAATGGAAAGTGCATGGTAATAATATTAAGTAAATAGAAGTTCCAGTAATAGAAATAACATGCATGGAATCATATACAAAGCAAAATTAACGTGACAAAATGAAGCTCAAGTAATGCAGAGTGCATGGTAATTATGAATCAATAGATAGAAGTTCCAGTGATAGATATCATTTTCATAGAATCACATACATTACTTGTACATACCTCGATCAATATTGGGAGATCATTTGAGTTGGAGTTTTCCTCATTCTTCTCTATCTTGATATTTGAGTTGGAGTTTTCCTCATTCTTCTCTATCTTGATAATTGTGTATTCGCTTGTAGGGGTTCTTCTTCAATAGCTGCCGGAGGGGAAGGGGAAGTTCGATAGATGTTGTTTGGGCAGGCAATGATAGGGGATTTCGCGGCGAGGCGGTTAACGATTGTGGAAACAACTCACCGACGGACAAAGACGTTAACGATTGTGGTTTCTTCAATCCTAGGGTGCCCTTTTCTTATCCTGCCCAGAACCTGTTCGACGATTTGCCCAGCTGAAAATGGTCCCCTTCAGAAGCTGAAAAATGACAACTAAGCTCCTCTCCAGCGGGCTAATGAGTACCTGTAATACATATAACCCATGAGATCGAGTGTATCTGCTTTGCTCTGCTAACTAATTGGCTACAAACCCAAACTCTAGACCATTTAATAAAATCCAGCAGATGTAAAAGTTCCCACCAAAATATAAAAATTCTCAAGCCAACCATGCAATGCAACGCCTATTTTTATCTCACTAATATTGCAAATCCACAATAAAAATAGAAACCCACGCCAATTTTTATATAGCCTACTTCTAACTCCCCGAACAAACATTATGTGAAGCAAGAAGACGGAGGAAGCCTTTCGTAACCCAAACTCTAGACCAGGAAACTTGAGAGCCAATGCCTTAACTCTAGCAGAGATTCTAGGTTCAGAAAAAGGGCAGAACATGGAATAACATCTCTGTTTTTGTCAATCATAAACCTGGGTTCATCAGATATCGGGCATCAAAACTGGAAATCTCTCAAATAAGTAGACAACTCAAACAGGAGCAGAAATTCTAGGTTCAGAAAAAGGGCATGACATGGAATAAAATCTCTGCTTTTGTCAATCATAAACATGGGTTCATCAGATATCGGGCATCAAAACTGGAAATCTCTCAAATAAGTAGACAATTCAAACAGGAGCAGAAATTCTAGGTTCAGAAAAAGGGCAGGACATGGAATAAAATATTTGCTTTTGTCAATCATAAACATGGGTTCATCAGATATCGGGCATCAAAACTGGAAATCTCTCAAATAAGTAGACAATTCAAACAGGAGCAGAAATTTTAGGTTCAGAAAAAGGGCAGGACATGGAATAAAATCTCTGCTTTTGTCAATCATAAACATGGGTTCATCTGTTTCTTTCTAAACTAAAAATTTACTTCACAGGTCTGCTCTTCCTGGGCGGTTTCAGATTTCAATTGCATAAATTAAATTAGAAAGAGGGACAGAGGGTAATCTAATGAAGAGAACTTACAGAGGCAGAGCGATTGATTAATCTCTCGAACTGGGATGTGGAAAATTCGGCAGGCAGGTTGAGAGGCAGCAGACGCGAAAGACAGGAACAGAGAGGCAGTGGCGAGAAAGACAGAGAGGTTGACGTTAGGAGCTGTAATGGACTTCGAGGGAAGGGGAAAATTGATCGGCGAGGCGGTGGCGTCGCGGCGAGCAGCAGACCCGAAAGACAGGAACAGAGAGACAGTCAAGAGAGGCAGTCGCGATAAAGACAGAGAATTCGACGTTAGGAGCTGTAATTGACCGGCGAGGATGTGGCGTCGCGGCGAGGCTGAGTGGCCTGGTGAGGGAGTTTGAGCTTTCTCTTTCACACACTAACCAATCTGGTTGGTTTACTCGAGCAGTCGTCCTTACTCCTTACTTCGAATTTCTCATTCACAAATCAAGTGCTGGCTGTATGGTTGCTGCCTTGCGTGGCTCAACTGAGAGAGAGCCTATTGTAGTTAGAAAACCCTCCACCTTTATGATGGACTTCCTATTACAGAAGTAAGAGCAAACATTTCATTCTTAAATCTCTGTTAAACAACTGCAGCAGTTAGGGTGAATCTGTTCTCAGTATCGTACCAAAGTGTTATGGCCGTGCAATGTTTGAGCAACTGAATTTGGGACGAATCGGTTGTTTGCAGATCGAGTTCGGCGGCTGGAAGCTGGAAGTTGTGGTTTGTTTGGGGGAGAGGTCTATTAGAGATAAATAATGTTTTATTTTATTTATTCTTTTATCACTTTCTCCACTACTGTTTTCGGTTCCTAATCTTGTGGGAAGTGCACATCAAGTCTGTTACTACGTGCCTACTTTGTCTCCCCAAGATCTGTATATTAACACACTGAATCATCAATAACAAATCATCTTGGATTCTCCTCATTATTGAGTTCTGTTAATCTCTTCATGGTATCAGAGCTAGCAACGATCAGCTAGATTCGATCCATCTCACCGTGCTGTGTTTTTCTTCTCTTCTCTGTTCGATTCTTCTCTGTTCTTTATCACCATGACAGTCAGTTCAGGATCTGGTGATTCATCTGTTGAATCCAAAATCGTTGAAACTCAAATCATTACCTTCAATCCTGCCGCTCAGCTTCCCTTGAAGCTTACTCCGACAAATTTTGCATCCTGGCGTTCCCAGCTGGAAACTCTGCTAATGGGACTTGATCTTATTGGGTTCATAGATGGCTCCACAGTTGCTCCTCCTCAGTCAATTTCAGCCGATGGTGCTGCTATTGCCAATCCTGCCTATCGAAATTGGTTCAGGCAAGACAAGCTTATACTTCACGCCTTGAGATGTTCCATTGATGAATCGATTTATTCATTTGTTTCTGCTGCCTCTACTGCTCGCGATGCGTGGCTCATCTTGGAGAAGCTATACGCTAGCAACGCCCAATCGCGTATTATTCATTTGAAAGGAAAGATCGGCAAGATTACCAGAGGCGATCGTGATGTTCTTGCTTTCGTCAATGATCTCAAATCCACTGCCGCTGAGCTCGCTCTTATTGGCGAACCTGTCAAGGATCTTGATTTAGTTGTTCATTGTCTCAGAGGTCTGGGTGATGATTACAAGGCTTTTTCTGCGGCTGTTCGTGCGAGAGGACCTGGCCTCACTCTTGAGGATCTTGTTGATTCTTTAGTGGAATATGAATCTGATCTTAAATCTCAGCAGCCCACTATTATTCCTACTGCTTTCTATACACAGGGGCAGCGATCTGGTGGTCATCCTCGCTCTCCCCGCGGCGGCGCTCCTCCATCACAACCCTACCGTGGTGCCTCTCCATTTCGCGGACAGCAGGGCTTGTCTCAACGGGCCTCCAGCCCGTCTGATTCCTTCCAGCCCAATCCCCATCGGGCCCGCACCGTCTGTCAGTACTGTGAGAAACCTGGCCATTCGGTGCGCCAGTGTTTCCAACTGTTTCCTCAGGCCCGCCAGGCCCATCTCCAAAACCGGCAGGCCCAGGCTCATTACATTAATGCTGCTCCTTCTTTGGGCCAGCCCTCATTTCCCTCTGGTGCTGCCCATTCGCTGCCTCACCACTATGCCACTGCTCCATCTTCTTCGACCCCAATTAATGGTCCATCTCAGCAACAAGGTTCATGGTTAATGGACTCTGCCGCCTCCCATCACGTTACCTCGGATCTTGGTAACTTATCTCTGTATTCCGACTATACCGGCCCTGATGAGCTGCTTGTTGGAGATGGCTCAGGTTTGCGGATTAGTCATATTGGCACTTCTCATTTTTCCACTGGCTCTTGTTCACTTTCGTTACATGATGTCTTACATGTTCCCGCCATTAAAAAGCATCTTATCTCTGTGGCTCAATTATGTCGTACTAATCCAGTGTCCGTTGAATTTTTTGCCTCTCATTTTGTTGTGAAGGATCTTCGCACGGGGGCACAGTTGTTGAAAGGGGAAAACAGAGGTGATGTGTATGAGCTGCCGCCAGAGACTGTACCTGTTCGAATGGCGCTGGTCACAACTCGCACCTCCACCAATTCATGGCATTCCAGGCTGGGTCATCCTTCCGATCAGTCTCTTCGCACTTTGCTTCGTGCTCATTCCCTTCCTGTGTCTTCTTCCTCTTTGAGTCATTGTGATGCCTGTCTTTCTAATAAGTCTCATAAACTTCCATTTGGTATTTCATCTCTTTCGAGTACTCGACCTTTTGATCTCCTATATACTGATGTTTGGGGCCCTGCTCCTGTTACGTCTATTGATGGTTTCCAATATTATTTGGTTATAGTTGATCATTTCACACGCTATACATGGTACTATCCTCTTCGGCGAAAATCTGATGTTCTTTCAGTTTTTCTTGCTTTTTGTACTATGGTTGAAAATTATTTCTCCACATCCATACGTCGTATTTACACTGATGGTGGCGGTGAATTTCAAAAGCTTACTTCCACCCTCACCACTCACGGGATCAGTCATCTTCTCACTCCACCTCACACTCCCGAACATAACGGTTTAGCCGAACGCAAACATCGACATCTCGTCGAGACCGGTATCACTCTTCTTCATCATGCCAACCTTCCCTCTGTTTTTTGGTCTTTTGCATTTTCCACCGCCATTTACCTCATTAATCGCCTGCCTTCATCCGCTCTTCGCGGTCAAATTCCCTACACCCTTCTCTTTAATCAATCGCCAAACTATCATAAGCTCCGAATCTTTGGTTGTTTATGCTACCCTTGGCTTCGTCCCTACTCCACTAATAAACTTGACCCTCGTTCTCGCTCTTGTCTTTTCCTTGGTTATTGCCCCCAGCGAAGTGCCTATCGTTGTTTTGATCCCCTCACTAATCGTCTATTTCTTTCCCGGCATGTTCGGTTTGTAGAGACTATTTTTCCAGGTTTTTCCTCTCCTGTGGCTCCCGCAACACCATCTCCAGCGTCATGGCTTTTGGACTCAAGTCCCACCATCACTCATTTGCAGGCTGCTCGGCCCATCACTCCCTCTGTCGGCCCGTCTCCTCCTGGGCCCAACTCTCCCTCATCAACTGCTCCCTCCGCAGCGGACTCCTCCACATCAACTGGGCATTCGGCGGATACTGGGCCTGCTCCTGAGCCCGTCACGCCGCCCTCTGGCCCGGCTGCTTCCCAGCCCTTATTACCTGCTCCGCCGGCCCGCACTCACAATATGACCACTCGGGCCCAGCATGGGATTTTCCGGCCCAAAAAGCTGTTTCATGTCACCGCTGGCTGCCCTGCCTCCTCTGCGTCTTCTGCATCGCCGCCTCTTGAGCCTTCCTCCATCAAAGAGGCGCTTATGTATCCTGAATGGTCGGAGGCCCTCACAGCTGAAAATCGTGATGTCTTACATCTGATGTTCTTTCAGTTTGTGGCGTCGTGGCGAGGCTGTTTGGGCAGGCGACGATAGGGGATTTCGCGGCGAGGTTAGGGAATTTTGAGAGCAGATCGAGTTCGGCGGCTGGAAGCTGGAAGTTGTGGTTCGTTTGGGAGAGATGGGAAGAGAGAAGAGTATCGGTCCGTCAGGCAGCCCAATCCGACCCGATGACGGAGCCAGCAGCGACGTTTAAGTTTTGAATTGGGCTTTGATTTCTACGCGGCCCATTTCAATGGAACGAAGCCATTTTAAATTTGCATTGGGCTTTGATTTCTACGTGGCCCATCTCAATGGAACGGAGCCATTTACCAAATTGGCCTCCCGTGAACTGCGCAGAGCGCAGGAAAACAGGAATTGCAGGCGCTGCGGGCAGGAATCTCCATATTGTTTTGTTAGAATATATTGGATTTCAGGTTATTCGATTGTATCAGAATTCTCAGTTGATCATCCTGATTGTTTACAGAGCTATATTGTTTTCATGACAGGTGAACTTGCAAGCTTAATGGAAGCAGATACAACACAAAGGAAACAATCTTTAGCAGGAGCCAAGGATGTCACAAGGTGTGAAACATCCAACAAACGAAAACAAAGAAAATAGAAGACTGGGAGGGAGAGAAGAGTGCAAGTGAGAAGTCATACTGCTGCAAAGTCAAAAGAATCTATCTAGTTACATACATGAAACAGCCACCATTAGAGGATGGAATGGCAACACCCTCAAGGCAGCAACAAAGCTTTAATTACATAACTTTTAATCTAAACCCCCTAAAGCTAAAGGTAACCTTGTTTGTTCCAGCTATCTATCTTTTTTATTTTCTGTTTGGAGTTAGCTTGGGAGGGAGGGTAATAAGTCAAGCCTGTCATTAACCTCAGGATGTTCTCTGTTATCTCTTGGTCTGTAGGCTTAGTGTGTTGTTCTTTGTTGCCATTATGGAACGATTAACAACTTATGGATATGTTTCATCAGAGTTATACCTTAGCAGCTAGGTTCTTGGTCTATATAATTACGGTCCAAGATAGGGTCAGTAACCCATCAGTAATCAAACGGGAGCCGTAGATTTGGGAATAGAGCAATCGTGTGGCTGGGCTGGATGTGGGGTGGGGAGGGGCATTTTTGTCCGTTTTTGTATTTTTAATTTTTTGTATTCATTCCACATTTCAATGGCTGACTTTTCAATGAAAGAGAGAGAATGGCATTTTCTCTGCAACTCAACTTTCTTCCTTCTCTCTTCCTTTC